GGGGGCTGCTGGGGCTGGGTGCCGAGGGGGGCTGGGTGCTGGTGAGTGGGGGACCTGGGCTGTGGCTGCCGAGGGCGCCGGTTTATTCTGGAATGTGAAACTATTCTGAAACAGACGGTGGCAGTGGCTGCACAGCCCGGGAACCCACTGTGGCCTCTGAAGGGAGAGCAGGTGGCGTGGGAACGGGTCTCAGCAAAGCTGTGTTGAGTCAAAACCGTCCTGGGGCAGAGAGGGCCGTCTAAGTTAGCTGTAAACCCTAAAACCACAAAAGGAAGAGCTGATGAATTTGACTACAAAGTACAAAGTTTCCACTGCGAAGCCGCCACTAGCAGCGCCGAAGGCACCGGGGGACGCCCCGCTCTGCGGGGACCTGAGGAAATGGGGGGGGCCCAGCGACGGCGAGGAACCCACACGACCGAAAACGTCACACGGCCTCTCAGGGAAAGAAAAGGCCGGGGGGGGGGCGTCCCCCTCTTCCTCGGCAGGCAGGGGTGGCCGGCGAGCCGGCTGGGCAGGGCCCCGGACAAGGCGCCTACGGGGACTCGGAGCAGCCCCGAGGGCGTCTGCCGGGGTCTCACAGAGTCACGGTCACATGACCTCTGACGGTGCACTTCACCCCAGGAGCCGGGGCTCCCATGAACCCCCTTCGTACGGGATGGCTGGTGCATTGGGGAGCCTGCTCACTGCCCGGGGGTCACGGTGGGAGGGGACGAGACCCGCCCGTGTCCATCGGGGGCTGGCGAGACTCCGCACGGGCCGAGTGTGCAGCCGCAGGGAGGGACCGGGCATCCTCCGCGGACTGGCCGAAGCCATGCTAGACGCAGGGCGTGTCCCTGCACGCAGGCGACCCCATCACCCAGGTCGGGACCGCGGGCTCCTGCTCGGCCTTCGTAAGAAGGAGAGAGGCGGGCAGCAGCCGCAGCGTGACGGGCACTGCCAGCTCGGCGCTCCTGAGGGAAGCGGACGTGGAGAGCGCGCGGCCGAGCCCCGCCAGGTGTCCAGGACAGGCCGCCCTGCCGACGGACTGGACGGCAGAGGTGCGGCTGCTCAGGCCTGGGGCTGGGGCGACGGCTCTTTTTAGGTGACAAAAATGTTCTAAAATCGACTATGGTGACGGCTGCACAACTCGGAACACACAAAGTGCTCAACTGTGGCCTTGAAACGGTGACTGTGTGACGCGTGAGCCACGTGTCAGGAAGGCTGTGTTTCTGCAAAGATGTCCCAGGGCGCACAGAGTTCTTACAGCCGTGAAAAGCAGGGAAGTGCCGAGTCCCTGGGGCTGGGCCACCACCAGGGCCTGCTCGCCGTCCCCTGGGGCCGGGAGGGGAGCGTGGCGGGCCCCAGGCTGGCTAGCTTGCGGTGGCCTGTGGACTGCCCCGCTGAGCCGCGGCCCAGGAGCGTGAAGGGCCACATGGGGCGCCTTCCACAGACTCAGCGAGAAGCTGGGGAGAGACCCTGAGTGTGGGGTCCGGCGCCCGGTAGGCCAAGCCCGAGGCCACCTTTGTCACAGGGACAGAGCAGAGGACGTGCGGCGCCCACCAGAGGCCCCACTGGCTGGCTCCAGCCGTCTCTGCAGACCAAGGGCTCCTGGCAGCTCGGACGTCTGGGCCCCTCCCCCGCCGACCTGGCGTCACACAAGTGCCAGTCACAGCACGAGTGTCGCTTCCAGCCGGGGTGGCGAGAGCGAGGGGTGGTGTCTGGTTTGGCCTTCCCGTGTCCCGTTGGACCAGCTGAGGTTAGGGTGCTTCGAACAACACTCGGTGAGTGTCCCTCGCACAGAGCGGCCTCGTTGGTGCAGACTCGGACGCAGGCGGGCCCGGGGGCCCGGGAGTCTGCATTCCTAACGCACTCCCGGGGGAGGCCGATGCCACCAAGATCACGGAGAGCATGGACCACTTGCCCTCAGGTGGGGGCAGTGCACAGGGGTCGCCAGCCTCGGACGCCCCTGTCCCCACGGCCGCCCCCAACCAAGGTGCCACCTTCCTTACCACAGCTACGGTGCCCCCGCCACCCGCGTCCCGGCAGTGGGGTCTCGAGCAGCCAGAGCCTTCGCTCCCCGGCGCTCTGTCCATCTGCTGGGCAGTGTGCTGGTCATTCCCCGTCCCTGTCCCTCGTCCCTGTCCCTCGTCCCTGTCCCTCGTCCCTGTCCCTCGTCCCTGTCCCTCATCCCTGTCCCTCGTCCCTGTCCCTCATCCCTGTCCCTCGTCCCTGTCCCTCGTCCCTGTCCCTCGTCCCTGGTCTAGAACAAGCTCCCCCAGCCCCGCCCGCCCCCGCCCATCGCCACCCTTGACCGCCCCTGTGTCCATTCCCGCCATCTGCTCTCTAAGACCTCAGGGCCAGCGACCTTGCCAGCCCTCCTGCAGTGAGGACTCGACACACCTGGGCCAGGTGACGGGTAGGGGGCTTGGCTCTTGTTACCCTCCACGGCCCCACGAGGACTAGCAATAAAACCCTAAAAACCACGCGGCTGCACTGAGCACAGTGTCCAGGACCGAGGCCCGGGGAGCCACCAGTGCAGAGGTCAGTGGGGCGGGGCCCTCTGCCATCTGGCTCTGCAGCTGCCCCATGGCGGAGGTGGGCGGGCAGGCAGCCACACAAAACGCCCTCCGATGCCCAAGGCCCCCTCCCCCAGCCTCAGGGCCCGCAGCCTGGAGCCCCAGGGATGAAGACTGTCCAAGGCTGGGCCTGGGCCCCGGGGGGCAGCGGAACTGCTGGGTCTCCCCTCACCACCCCCAGGCCATACCTCCACTTGGGCCTCCTCCCAGGCATCCAGGCGGATGGACTTGACCTTGCTGACCTGGGGGATGTTGCGGTGGATCCCGGAGCAGCTCAGGCAGATGAACACCCCGAGGGTGTAGGAGGCCCAGTCTGGATCTGGAAGGCAAAGGCCAGCCGATCAGCAGCCGCCGGTGCACGGCCCAGGGTCACGGCCGGGAGCCCCAGCCCCACGGGCCCTTCTCTGGCCTCCGTCCCCCATCTGTGCTGTGGGGGGCTGGCAGAGAGGTCCCTGAGGTCACCGGCTCCGTGCGCCCCACACAGGGCCCTGCGCTGGCCACGATGGGCAGCCCACCCCTCAGCCCAGCGCCCTGGGACAGACTCTCCCGGACACCATGGGGACACACCGCGGCTGTGGGGGACACTGGGCGATGGCTGCCGAGTGGCAGCGCGTGGCCAGTGCCCACCTGTTGGACGCGGTGGGGACGCCAGCTCAACCACGCTCGCCGGCTCACTCAGGGCAACGCGTCCTGGCGTCTGGTTCACTTGAAAAGGTTCGACGCGGACACCGTGGTGCAGCCGTGCCATGCGAACGCTGCCGTGCCCAAGCAGGGTGCGCGTGGAAACCACGCCGCCCACGCCCCGGCGGATGCCAGCCCCCCGGGGCAGGCAGGCTGGGCCATGTCCCCGCACACCCACGCGGTCGCCGCATGCTCAACGGAACCCCACGGAACCTTCTCCCAGACCGGGCAGGTTTAAAGCAACATGCCCAGCTGAGGCCACAGCCCGGGCGGGCTTCCCAGGAGCCCCCGGGGGTCCGGGCTGCACCCATAGCCAGAACCAGCCACCGTCGCCCTGCATCCTGAGGGCCAGCACGGACCCGCCCTGCAGGCGCTGCGGCCAGAGGGGCCAGGCGTCCAGGCCCTGGGTCTGCGTGGACGTATTCCTCTGCGGTCAGACAGGGCTGGGAGGTGGCTGTCTGATCGCAGAGGAATATGTCCTCTGCGAGCCACCACAGGCCACCCCTGCCCTCCTGAGGACCAGCCCTGGCCCTCCCTCCAAGGGCCCCAGAGAACCCGCCCTGGTGCCAGGAGGTCTGAGCCCCTCCTCAGACAGCAAGCACCCAGGCCACAGGCCCTTGCGGCCGTACACTGTGCGTGTGTAGAGTGTGCAAAGGTGAGTTTGTGGGGGGGTGTGCAGGCAGCAGGCTAAGGAACCGCCCGCCCCCGCCCCAGCCTCGCAGTCCCCGAGGGCACCCACCAGGCCCAGGGCCCAGGTCACCTCCCGCAGGGTATGGGGAAACCAAGGGTCAGCGTCGGCCAGAGGGCCCAGTCCTGACTGGTCCTGGCCGGTCCTGGCCGGTCCTGGCCGGTCCAGGCGGCGCTCTCTCCACCCAGCCCGGCCTGCAGCGTCCAGCCCCCATCCTGAAGGGTGTGACTGCTCTATGGCCTAGTGGAGGGAGCAGAGGCCAGAGGGGCAAGTCGCTGGCCCAGGACACGCGGCTTCTAAGTGGCACTTGGAACAGAGTGGTTTCAAGAGAAAAGCAGCCACGTTATCCCATGGGCTCTGTGGACACACACAGCTCAGCCTCCTGTGGCCAGCGGGGTGCACAGGCATGGCTGTCTATAGGGTAGGACCCACCGGTACGGGAAGGTGCTCGGTGGGTCTGGGGTGGAGGGGGAGGGGAAGCACCCCCACACATGGGGACATAGGAGCTGGCGCTCTGAGGTCACCAGGAGCCACTGCCCCGCCCCCTCCCTGTACCGGGGCTGGCTGAATCTGTGGTTCTCACCAGGGCCCGCAGGTTTGGGGCAGCCCAGAGACCAGGATACCTCAGAACCTTGGTTCTGGGGGGCCTCCCCAGCTCAGAAGAGCTGTGAGGGGAGGGCACAGGAGGAGAGGGAGGAAAGGGTGCGGGACGGGCCCCCAGCCCTCCCCCCAGCATGTCTGTCCACCTGGCACCCGTCTGTCCACTCCTGGCTTCCCATCTACTCCCCTGAGTCCCCCAACTGCCCGCTGCTTGTCCGGCCCACAGTCCACCGGCTAGCCCACTGGCCCCGGAAGCCAGGGCCATACTCGTAAGGCAGACGTCACACCAAACGTCTGTTAGGACACTCGAGGGCCTTCTCACAGACATCGGCAGCCCAGGGGCTGTTCCCCCAGGCACTGCACCCCATGACGCCTGGCCAGCTCCTCCCCATAGGCAAGCCTCACGTCAGACCACCCGACCACCGACTGAGGGGCACCCCCATGCATCCCCAGTCAGACGCCCCTCTCATTTCTTCACGGCATCTGCCAATCTGGGCATCTTCTGTCTGTCTCGACCGCCAGACCGTGAAGGAGTCAGGGGTCAGTTGTGCTGTGGCCACTCCCAGCAGGCCTGGCCAGGCAGATGCTGCTGGCAGGGACCTGACGACTGTGGCACCCGCCAAGCCACGTCCCTGAGCTCCCTCCCATCGCTCTGGGGCGATGTCCTGGGGGAGCCGAGGGAGGGCCACCCTGTGATGGCCGGGCTGGCGTGGTCCGGGAGCCTAGGCTCTGCTGGGCAGCCGGGGCCTGCGTCTGTGGAACCGGAGGGTGAGCATCAGGGGCCTCGGCTGGGGACAAGGCTACATCATGCCCCAGGTCTGAGCCTCTGGGAGGGGGCGTGGGGTGGGGCAGGAAACCCTGAGGGTCAGAGCCATAACCCACCTCTGTGGCTCGCAGACAGGGCCCCCTCCACCCGGCTGCCGAGCTCCCCCAGGCGCGTGGGGACCCAGTGACACTTCCACGGCCCACGCGACCCGAGCTGGGCCTCAGTCCGTTGTTCTCGGCCTTTGCTCTCTCTTTTGGCTTCACTCATACTTGACGGCTACAGAGGACAGACACGCTGAATACCTGCCCTGGGGGTCTGGCTGGCTGCCAGGCCCCGCCCCGCAGGCCCCAGGGTGCTCTGTGGGCACAGCCCACCCTCTGGCAGGCCCCTGCAGCCACTCTGGGACATCCTGGGGCCCCAGGAGCCAGCGCCGGCTCTGAGGAAATGCTGGAAGGAGGGTCTTCCGGACGAGAAGGAACAGGTCCTGGGCACGTGGGCCTCACAGCTCACTCACCAGGTGAGACGCCACCGGCCGCCTTGCCCGCCGGCCATCCCTGCTGTGGGGACACGGCCCGCAGGGATGCGGCCTGGAGCAGGGCCTTCCCGGGGCGGGGGCAGGGCGGGCAGGTTTCCCATGAGAAAATCTCCCAGGGCAGGGCCCGAAGCCGGGCAGGGCAGTGTGGCCTCCTCACGCAGTCGCCCAGAGGAGGACAAGGGCCGGCTCCGCGCCCCCCACCCGGCTCCGCGCCCCCCACCCGGCTGCCAGGGCCGACTCCACAGGACGCAGGACGCAGCAGCTGAGCAGCTGGGACAGAGAACGCATGGCCCACCAAGCCTGATAGGTGCTGCCTGGCTTTCTAAGAAAACGTTTGCCAAGCCCTGCTGTAGAGGGACAGGTGGGTGTGACACAGACAAGTGAGCCCAGAGAGGCATGTGATCGGAACTGATGGCTTAGGGCCACTGCTAATATCACCTCTCTGACAACGGGTACCGGGGTTCAAGGTTACAAACCTGCCTGACGTCTTGCGACTGGCGCGAGGACCCACGGGTGCACCGTTCAGGGCTGTGTGACCGAGCCCGCCCGCCTGTGTGTGAGACAGAGGGTGTGCGCACGCGCGTGCAGGCTGCCTTCTCCATAAGACGAAGAGGATGAGAGCCAGGTAAAGCAAGTGTGTCGGGGACGGTGGCAACACAAAGTTGCGACCTGAAGAGCAGGAAGTCTGTGCCTTTTTCAAAGCTTCGTGGTGAGACCCTGTTCCACGGCCACGAGAATGGCTAAGCTGTGAAGGGCTGACCCCCGTCGGTGGACACGGAGCAGCTGGCACTCACACGGCTCAGCCGCTCCAGAGCACGGTCGGGCAGTTGCTCACATAATTAAACCCACGTCTCTCCTATAACCCAGCAACTCTACTCCTAGGTATTTACCCCAAAGAAGTGAGAACATGTCCACAAAAGATCTGCAGATCTAACAATATATAAAAAATACAAAAATCATGACTAATGGGTTTATACCAGGAATGCAAGGCTGGCTTAACATCTGAAAACTCAATCAATGTAACTCATAACATTTATGGATTAAAAAAGAAAAACCATGATTGTTAAAATAGATGCAGGAAAAGTGTCTGACAAAGTGTAATATCCTAATAAAAATTCTCAGAAAACTAGGAATAGATGAGAATGCCCCTAACTCAACACAGGGCGTCTGCGAACCGCCTGCAGCTGACGTCACCCCAGGAAAGAAGACTGACTGCTCCCCGCAAGGTTAGGGCGAGGCGAGAATGTCTGCTCTGGCCACTCCTGTCCCACACGGACCTGGGGTCTCGTCAGCACAATGAGGCAGCGAAAAGAAATCAGAAGCATCTAGATTGGAAAGGAAGAAATGAACCTGCTCTTATTCATGCACAGCGTGATTACATAGAAAGTCCGATGGATTCCAAAACAACACTACTAGGACTAATAAACAAGAACCGATAAGCAAGGTTGCAGGATACAAGGTAAATATACAGAAATCAACTGCATTTCTGTATACCAGAGACAAGCAATTGGAAAGAAAACATTTAAAAATATCATTTACATCTAGGAATTGTTGCACAATCATGTGAGTATTCTTAAAACTACTAACCTATATACTTAAAAAGTGAGTAAAATGGTAAATTTTATGTTACATGTACTTACCACAATTAAAAATTCTTCAACACCATTTAAAATAGCATAAAAATATTAAATTTAGGGGTGAATATGACAAGAGATACGGAAAACAGTACCCCGAAAGCTACAAAATGTGGCTGAGAAAAACGTGGAGAGAGACACCAAGTTCATGAGCTGGAAGGCTCAGCACTGTTACGATATCGACTCTCCGCATGGTTAGTCTGTACGGTGGACGGATTCCGAATGGGAATTCCGGCAGCATCCGAGAAGCAGAAATCAACAAGCTGATTCTAAACTCGCGTGTCAATGCAGGGAGCCTCAAACAGCAAGGCAGCCCTGGAGAAGGCGAAGGCGAAGGCCGGACGCTGCTCCGCTGCAGAATTTGGTGCGGAGCCACAGCCGTCAAGACGGGGGGCGCTGGCATGAAGATAGGTCA